TCAAGGTGATACCTCGTGGAGGGGAAAAAGGGGGAATTTCTTTTCATAGAACAACTATTGCCACCCCAGGTACCCACCTGTACATCAACAATCTACCATGGGATTTTCTCGGAATTTTCATTGCAGTTAAAAATAGTAAAAGATTTTGACTATATATTATAGCTGTGTACGGTGTAGGTACCATTTTAATGCGTATATCATGATATATGTATATCATGTACCAATAAAACGATTTTTCGTGAATATGTCTATGGACGTAAAGCCGAAATCTATTAGACAAAACTTTATAAGCTGCGTAATCATTTAGATCCCTGACACTAAATTATAATATTGGTTGAAGTATTTGGATGCAGGCATGCAGCTCAGCGGTTAGTGAGTCAACATTTTCCTAAAACCCAAAAAGACATCAATGACTCATGAGTTATGCTCATGACTAACATTAAAAATTACGACATGGGCATTTGAATAAAAACGATAAGAACAGATAGAAAACCTCAATATTGAGAAATGGCTACTGTATTAAATATTAATTATTGTTACGAGTATAATTACCTATTTTTCCATAATTTACTATAGTAAATAATTAGCCCTTTCACAGTTTCACTGTCACAGACGTACTATTACGTTCCTGTATTTTATAACATTATCATTTGCCGGTAACCGTACAATTTTAGAAAACCATGGATGGAATTATTTTAAACTTAAACAATATCTATCATAATATAGGTAGATCCCAAATATTATTTACTGTGTCAGTGTGTCCATTGACTCAATACAATTTTCTAATTAAATATCTGTAATAGTAATAAGCCAGTAAACTGAATTTATTAATAGCATTTTTAAGTTTGTATAAATTTCAATTACGATTTTACAATTTTACAAACAAAAGTTAAAAGAAATTTATTTTAAAAACGAGTGATATTGATCTAATATAACATACTATGTAGCTTGTTTCTTTCAAACCATTCAAGTGATAGAAAATATTGAACTGCAAAAAGTTCCCCTAAATACTTCCTCCGGAAACCTTATTAATTATTATTGAAGAATGATATAATACGGGTTGAATTACATATTATGCTATACAAAATTATAGTATTGTGATAGGTAATAGGTGTATAATTATTATTTATGAGCTTAAAACTATAGCAAGTAGCAGCTTATATTGTTTCAAATAAATATTTAGAGATGTTAACTTAATACTTGCAATTATTTTCGAAACATTAATTATACTAATACTTTGGAGGTAGAATAACCAAAAAACATAATATTATAATTAAATCAGAAGTACATTTACAATTTATTTACGAGGAAAATAATTTAAGATAATTTTAATCCAAAACTTTTTTATCATAATTCATAATAAACAATATTATTATTATTATTAGGTATTGAATGTATAGTATAAGTATAAATTTAAAAAAATGTTTAATGATATAAACACAGCTGATAATTGTCTTACCTAAGAGTTTTATAATAGGTAAACTCCCTTGTCGATTCACTCTAATATTAAAACTAACACGACACTTTTGAAACTGCAAACAAACATTTATTACGTCGTACGTGTGTAAAACAGACATCATAATACGCAAATACGACGTCCTAGCAATAGGACGCAAAATGTGCGTTTATTGTCACATCTTATAAATGTACGACACGGACAATTTTGATATAGTGTGATTTCATAGTTTTGATATTAAAGTGAATTGACTTATCCAACTTTTATGTAAGAAAATTTCTGTGGTTAATCGTCATCATTTCTTTCGATGTTTTATTTTTTTATTCTAGAAATGGGTATGTGAAATATTCAAACATCGAATAAAACATTTAAGCACAGATGATCTTACCTAAAAGTTTGATAACAGGGCAATTCATTTTAATATCAAAACTAACAGTACACTATTAAAATGGCGAAGAAAAATTTACTATGTCTTACGTGTGTAAAACATAGGTTACAAACTTACAAATGCATGGGTAGCGTCTCTTAAGGACCTACAAGTGAGGTATCAAGACGAATTTTCCAGTATTAAGTTAAAAAACTTGAAAACCTAATTCATGATTCTCCATAAGTTTTCTTACATAATATTTTACCAAAAAGTTTACCGGAAAGTTAAATAATTGTTTAATGGGCAATTTAAGTTAGACATTAGAAAGACTGTCTCATGTCTATTCTTCAAAATAACAATTTCTCATAGGTACAGCGATTTTCTTATTTTGTTATTATTCAAAAACTATTAACCGTAAGTACTTGAAACTTTCATCAAATGTTTGTTTTATCCGGTTTAATCATTTTCTAAACATGATACAATTTTTAAAATACTTGTTTTGAGTTACTGATACTTGAAATTTGTTTAGTTTTTTGTTCTATAAATTCAATACAATTTTATTCGTAGTGTCAAAAAGCTTAAAAATGTAATACAAGATGATACAATGTATAAGGATCCTTAGTTATAATAGCAAGTATTTAAAATTTATGTATTAAAAATTTTGACAAACTTTAACAAAATCTAAGTTTCAACTTGTTTTCTAGTTAAAAATTATAAAATGTGCAATTTGTATAGCTAAGGATTGAAAATTTAAAATAAGGAATATTCACATTAAAAGTTCATATTGTAACCAAAAATCTAAAAAATATATACCAAGAATAGTGATTTTTGATATTTTGTTATAGTTTAAAAATATTATTCGAGCGTACTTGAAACTTTTAAAGTATATTCTTTTTATTTTATATACCCAACAATATTTTCAAATGCAATTTTTTGGGCAAAAATGAAATGTAGTACCTACTAATGTATAATAATAAAATTAATTACCTTCTAAATTACTTTAATCACAATTACAACTATTATAAAATATACTTAGTGATATTATAGGCTGACAAAACGTCTTTCAAATCAATCTTCATATAGCTACAAGGATTTTATATCATTGAATTTAAATTTAACAAATTCATTTTTGTAGTGATCCACTGCAAAAATTGGGGCTACAAAATATTTCTTTTGGTCATCATGTTCAACAAAGTAATTTATTTGAAATAATAATTAATTGATCTATTACTTATTTGAACATTTAAAATCATTATTGGGTACCTATGCCTAACTGACAATATTGTCAAAAAAATAAAAATGTTAAAAATATAAAACCATAGGTAATTTGACAATACCATATACTTCTGTTAGTAGGTTCTCTTTACTACCCTAGAAGTCTTTATTGAAAATATAATGATAAATTCCCGGATAAATTCTATGTGAGTGAATGATTGGTTAGCATCTCAGTTAGCATGATGACTAGAGGGAAATGAAGTATACTCGGTAGTATATGACTTATCTATCTACCCATATAATTCATTTACAGTTTTTATTTTTATGATGAAAATATAAGCCATTCTTTAGACTGTAGCTTGTAAATATCAACAAACCGGACAAAATCATAATAGTTGAATTTAATTTTATAATAGTTATTAGATATTTCTAAAACAATTGATTGTTGACTAACCAAGAGCTTGACATTGAATTATTTTTGTCTGTCCTTCGCCAATCACATTTTTAGTTGATGTTGGCTGTGTTATGAATCGAGGGGCCTGATAGGACTCTGTGAACATAAAACGACATAAACGTTGACTACCAGTTTTTGGGATGCGGTAAATGTAGGAAGAACTGGGTACTACACTTACGGCATTCACAACGAGTGATGGTGGACAGCAGCAAGACAGCGGTGACGGCGAACGCATAGGTCCTTTGCCTGCAAGGTAGACGATCATTTCTTTCCTCTTCTTCCATCGCGGATCGGACGCACAGGACAATCGTATCAATCGGACGACGAAACAAACAGAATTTACACTAAACAACAATCGTGACGAAAAAACGGACGAAACGACGGTTCGGAAAAATTCGGCGACCACGCGCACGTAAGTACAACACCTTTTCACGTCCTACCCACTGTCGGAATTGTTGCAGCACCCGAGTCGGCATGTCTCGCCACAAAGGCCGGCGGCAGCGAACACCTGTTGCGGCGTTTCAAAAGCCATCTCGCGCGCAACGGCCGTTTGCGCGATCTAACGGTTTTCAGACGATTATCGCACTCGGTATGCGCGGGTACGTTTATCAATCAAACCGATAAATGTGTAATAAATAAAAACAAAAATATTAATAACAACAACAACAACAACAATACTAACGAGCCGATAAAACCGTCGGCAGTACAACAACAACAGATGACGGGACGGTGGCGACACGGGTGGCGCAGCGGGCGTAATAAAATAATATCATATATATAACGTTCCAGTGGTCGGCCAAAGAATGCGGTCCTCCGGTACACTCGGTACAGTCACTCCGTACTGCGGATCGTATGTGTATTGTATACTAAACACGCACACGGACGTGAACGCGCAAGCGCAGAAAGGCGAAACGGGCGGAACTTGAACAACGGTTCGGTAGCATTGCGGCGGCGTCGCGACTCAACCACCGACCACGATGGGGTCAGATCCCTACTCTAGACGACGACGTGCAGCCTGCATTGAGCATTCTGTACTGCAATCATTATCAAATGGTATGAACCACTGATATCAGTATCAGTACCCATTCCGTGGTATAAACCATGATTAAAGATAATAATAAACCTTGGATACCAAGTATGGGATGGTATATACACCGTCCATTTTACCACTGGACAATGATATTACACGATATTCTATATAAATAATATATTATAGGTAGTATGTAATTAATATTATTGACCGTGTATTAGAATCTAATAATTAGTTGATATTGAAGGCGTGTTCAATCTTAATGAAAATATCAAAATGGTTTTGACACATTAAAATTGATCGTGTATAGGGCCCATGAATCTAAGACCGTGGGCCCATGAATGCCCTTATGAACACAGATATCATCTGTGCTATCAATGATCTAAGGCTGTGACCATAGATAATATGTATAATAAATATTACTGAGGGGGCTGTGATTGCTATTTTTATTCTTATCTCAAAATTTTGATCTACTGATCTGTGATATTACAGAATACTGAGAATAGTGATTAGTGAATAGTAGTTACTGCACAGTTGTAGTACAGTACGCACTTACATTGTTTTTTAAATTTTGTTGAGCTGTTAAGGATTGAATAATAATTTACCATAATATATAATGAATAGTAATATTAACAGTACATTGTTGTTTTCACTTTTCATTCAAATGCCATCCAACTAATCACTAAATCGCCACTATCCCCCTCTACTTCTGTTTCTCATTCGTCGTTCGTTTTAGGCAACTTACATGCGAATGGCTCTCAGAGTCTCAGCCTCCTTAGACGCCAGAGGCGTCAGAGGTTACGTAACGCTGATTAATATTCTTAAATGATTCCGTGAAATTCGGTCGTTGCTGTTGCTGCAGCTGTCGTCATCGTGATCATGGTATCCGATGACCAATGTTGTGCTTGTCGACTATATCCCTTAGTTTACTTCCGTGGTGTAGTGTCTTACCAAATTGTGTGCCCGCAATAAGTGCCTAGAAGCTGGTGCCATGTCGAGGTAAGCATAATGTTGCACCACCGCATGATAAAAATGTTGTTAGTAAAGTAGAAGCATGGACCCCCATTAATGAAATCATCAATCGTCCATAAACAGCAAAGGTTTATAATCTATAAATGTTACTGTACCTCTCAGGTCTTGAGGAATTAAAAAATAAATTTAAAAAATATCTGGATTATTCCTAAATTAATGGATAAGGCGCAAGTAAAAATCATAAGATAAAGTGTTGTTAAAATCCAATTTTCTACTTAGGTACAACAGTGAATTTTTAAGGATTTGATAAATATATAATTTTATTAACACGGTGCAGTAGTCGTAGGTTGTGTACAAGCTCAGATTGGACTAGCAAGCTACCGAGAAAATATCAATGGACTTGTCATGTGTGTATGGTCGTTATTTAATTTTTATGAAATAGTGAGAAATTAGTAGAAAATATAATTGAATCAAATTATTAAGCCATAGAATAGCTGTGGTTGTAATCAAAGTTAGAAATCCTTACAATCTGTGGTACAATACTTTAAATCCTTGACTTTCTGTCACTGGTTGTGAATACCAACCATTAATTCAACTAAAGTAACAAAGTGAAATTTGAATCGTTTTAGTTTTTACTACACACAGCAATTAGATTTTGTCTAATAATTTAACATTATATTTAATATTATGTATGGAGAACATTTAGTTTAATAGTATGTATGTAAAACATTTTTACATAGGTATTAGGTACACTTAAATTGTTAGTTTTTGGTTGTAATCGTTTTGGGTTTAATTATGTGTTTCAGAGAACTTTTAATTGTATTTGTTTACGATCCACGATTCTGTACTTCCGAAGCTGATGATCCACAAAATTCTATTTTATACTTTCATCCCCCATGGGTAAGCTCTTCACAGAAGCTTGCCTTAAGTGGTCAATTAATGGGAATTGTCAAGTTTTCTTCTTCAGTTTTCTCATCTCCTTCAGTATTAGCATTACGTTCGGGAAAGTTTGCTATTCGGCAATTTGGTTCTTTGACACTGGTAAATAGTGATTATTTACTAACCATGAATAATATGTATTATTATTTTTTTTTTTTATGTTTGTACAATAGGTATGCAGGTATAAAAACTTTTTAAAATGAAAATAGTTATAATTATTTATAATATTTAGGCAATATAGCCTATTATAAATTATTATATTGCTTTTGTTCTTAGATTTTTTCTGTTACAGTGTGTTGGAACAGATCGAAATATTCCAGACAGTGTTTTGCAAAACCGAGCCAACACTTTATACAATATTTTAGTTACATTTCACTTTAATATAACTGAAATCTCAGATCATAAAATCCTCAGTGAACAATTAAATACAGTAATTTCATCATATCTTTCACTTCTACTAATTTCTTCAAACATGTTTAGTACCACGGCAGTATTTAAATTTCCCAAGGTAATTTCTACAATGGTAATATTTTGATTTTTATATATTTATTTGTTTTGTATTTTTCAGAGTGGAGGAAATATTCTTCTGGAAGCAATGCAAATACTTGAAAGTATGCAAGAAAAAAACAAGGTTTTAGGTGGAATGTTATTACATCAAAATAAGTATGTGATTTGTGGTCTCAACGTTTTAATTTGTCTAATTCTATTTTAATTTCTAGAATTGTTGTTACTCAATTTGGATTTGAACTAACCAAATTAATTCAACTGACAAATCCTTTCTGTAATAAGGTTGGCACTTAAATTTAAAACATTTAATTTTAATTTTATAACATATTTTTTTTAACTGCCTAATACTTACAACTTATTCATTTACGCTATCAATGATTACATAACAATTGTTTAAAATTGAATCATGTATTATAGATACCAGCTGAAAATGTAAAAGGAAGCTTTCATTTACCATTAGGCACTCAACTCTTATATATTTTTGTGGACAGAGAACAAGTATTACAAATAAGAAAAACAGCTACTTCATTGAAACAATCCGTGAAAAAAGCATCAAAATGGCGGCAAAAAAATAAAGTATTTGTGTAACATAATTTTGCAAATAAATTATTTAAATTTCAAACAATGTTTTACCAACCAATGCAGATGGCTGACAAGTCACAAGACTGTCCAAAAAATGACAAAAACCCAGAAAATAAAACAATGTTTACGGTCGAAGAAGAAGATACCCCAGATAGTAACAGTGGATCAATCTGTAGTATGCCAGATATTGTGAAGGAATCTATTATCAAAGCAGAAAAAAGATTAGACAAGTCTAATACTGGAAAATGTTCTTCTCTAGAATCATCTCTGAATGAAATGCCAAATTTCTCAAAACTTGTTACTTTAAGGTATTACATTTAGTTTTCATTATATTGTGTTGTTTATGAAATTAAAACTTCTTGTTCCAGAAAAGACACAACAAGGTATCAGAGTCTTAGGCTATTGCCTAAAACAATAAATTATGACAATTCTAAACATAGTGATAAATATAGAACATTATGTGACCCATATTTCCCATTATTGCGTGATGACGACTATGCTGTTTCAAAAGCACTTTATGACAAACAACTATCTCAACATTATACTGATCTTGATCTTAAAGTACAGACCGAAAAAGGTACAATTTCTATATTTTTTAAATATTATGTTTAATTTATATTTTGTTAAAAATAATATTCATTAATTTAGAACAAATATTAAAATCAAAAAAACCAATTCGGCCAACTTCCATACCATTAAATTTACAAGCTCTTGGTAAATTTTGAATTTTGTAAAGTTTCGTTTCACGTATTCATATAAAATTATAATTTAGATAGAAAACCTGCGCTCAAAGAAGATATAATGACACCTTTGATGGCTAAACTTAGCATGGCAGAATCATATAATTTTGCCACTCCCACAGAGAGCATATGTAGAACTCCTACAAGTTTTCAACCACAAACTAATGCAGCCAGCCATCAAAAATTGTTGCTATTTGTTGCTGGCTTTCAAAATACTTCAATAATGGTGTTGTTAGAAAAAGAAGCAGAAACTGATGCTGATCTTATTCATCTATTAGTATGTATTTACATTTATAATAATTACAATTATACCCTGTTTCAAAAGAGAACATACCAGGCGGCCACAGGCAAAACCGGTTTTCTCTTGTAAATCTGGTATATTCTCTTTTGAAACAGTGTATAGATAAAATTTTTTTTTCTAGTGGAATTTAAGTTTCAACAATCTTGGAGACTTAGAGCATTCTATAAACAACACAATCACAAATGTCCCGGATGCATATAATTTACAAGGTACAGATGAAACTTATGGCTACATGGTTATGGACACCACTAATGCTGGTATGATTGACAAGCATGGTAACTGGTTAAGTTCACAAACAACTTTAGCAACTTCTATACATGATACTTTCCAAAAAAAACCTTCGGTTCTCGATATAATCATCAGGTAGACCATTGAGCCTTAATTATATTTTTTGTTAAAACTTAATAGATTTATTGTTATAGGAATGATGATAATATTGTTTATGGAAACAAATGTGGCAGCCGAGAATTGTTTTATCAACAAAGTGGCAATATTGTAAGCGGTCTACCAACACCATCAGATATAATGGGTGTTGTGTCTACAACTGCAAAACGAAGACTTCAAAGAGACCATGGTATTATTATTCTATAGAATAAACATAATTTTTAACATAATCCACCGAACTATTTATACAGTATTATAGTAAAAAAATTAAACGTGTTTTTGGCGTGAGTTTATATTATGTGTGTTTTTTTAATTTGTATTAACTTATATCTAAATTAATATTTAACATTAAACTTTCAACATTTTAAACTTAACTTATTCAGTTGATACTCAAATTTATATGTTAATTATTAAACATTAAATGTACAAGATAAACTCAATTAAATGTATGCATAGATATACTTGTGAATATAAATAATAATTTAATTTAAGAATTAGGTACATATATATATTATAATTTATATTGATGTATCATTTTAAAATAAAATGTATTATGCACATCTATGAATGTGATCAGTGAATTGGTAACAATATATTTTGAACATTGAAGTTGAACATTTCCTCAAAACTTATCTCATTATATCACGGTAAAGTTACCTAACCTAAGATTGTGCATTATACACTGAGATATATCGATACTATATACTGGATGGCAGACTCCCTATTCTTATTCTCCCAATGAAAATAAATAAAAACGAGCCGTACAAATTCCACTTTCCCCGCCATCAAAGAGTGAATCAAACATTAATTCATTTTTACATTTAATGGACGTGTAGGTAGTAATGATTATTTTGTTCATAATTCTTCATTTGTTTCAATTATTTTCTTATTTCTTTAACACATTACATAATATATAAAATAATAATTAGTCATTGCCTTATTGTATTACCATGATTATCTCATATGCCCAATACTATGAAAAAATATAAAATTTAATAATAAATTAAAATCATATAGAAAAACTTACAGATAAATAATGATTACAAAAGAAAAAATAACACATATTTTATAATAGTATATTTATTATTTATACAAGAGTACAAAATAATTGTATTAATATGTATATGAATACACACAAATGATCTAAAAACTATATTACACATTTTTAAATAAAATTATTGTGGAGATTTTTGTTCTAAGATATTTATTGTTTAATACCTCTTGCAAATTGTATTTTCTCTGGTAATTGGGGCATTCTTGTTTTAATAAATGTTTTACATATCAATTTAAACAATATATATTCATGGCTAGGTGCTTTTAAATCAACATTTATTGGATGTGAGCCAAGGAAAAAAAAATAATTTCAATAAATTGTACTATACAATTATTATTCATTCTTATTATTGTGTTCAAGATAAATAATCTAGTACTTTATGCGATTGTAAAATTTTAAATAGTCAATTCAATAAAATACTAAAGTAATTAAACATTGATAAAACCCTTGAATGAGACGTTTGTATTAATTCTTTAAACAATACTATTACATTTTTTTTTTATACTTACAAATCACATAAACATATTTTAAATTCTAAAGTAAATGAAATGACATACCATAATTTCTCATGGAATTTCATTTGTGGGTGGTACTTACCTCACTCATTTTAAGAATCTTGAAGTAACTTTGAATTTTATACACAAATTCATTTTTAAAATTCCCTATTTGTATCCTACTAGTTAATATAATGATTTAAATATTCTAAAATTAAATTCCTTATATACTAAAAATATGTTTATAAACGTAAATGTAAAAGATGACATCTTGGTTCCAAATCATAATTATTGTACTCGTCTTAAATCTACTTTAAACAATTTTGTTTAATACATAATTTAAATTTAAGCAACTTCAATAATTTTAAATTGTATAACAAATGTATTGTAAATCTAATTGAATTTTGTTAATCTATCATTTAGCTTATTATTAGCTTTTCATTATTCTTTAGACAATACTCTAGTTTCTACATTTTTTTGTCAAGATAACTACTTTAGTCTGTATCCTATAGTTTAGCATCTCCTCTCTAGCCAGTCTAGCCCAGACATTAGCTTTGTAGTTGACTCACTTGTTATCAACATTAAATGTACACAATATATTCGTATGTAAAATTTAATTGTTTTGTCCTTTGATGGTGGGGAGGGAGGTAATGTCCAGTGCTGCAAAATCCTCGGGGGAACATACAAATTCCAATGATACAATATCAATATATATGAATGATAAAACTTTATGAAAATATTCCTCTATGTCCTATAATAGCCCAAAACATATTTTTTCTCTCTCAGTTATGCCATACAATATATAAAATATAATCGGTGGTTAACTCACGATGATGAACCATTGAACTATATAATAATTAATAATATATTATACAGTCTTGTAAAAGATACTTTTTAAAATTATTCAAGTACAAATACAGATGTTTATTTTGAAACGTATTCAAAATAAGTATTTGATTAAACAAATACAAATACTTTAAAAAAGTATTTAGAGATACTTTTAATTTTTTTTATACATGCATTTTTTCACAATATAAATCAACAGAAACTGAATTTCATGTTTTACGCAAATTTTATAGAGCATTTTACACCATTTACTGTTTGATATAATTATCAAAATGTACACATTTTTTGTCGGAGTAGAAGAATTTTTGGTTGAGTAAAATTAACAGTAAAAAAATTAAAAATTTTATTAAGAATTGACACGATTAAAATTAAAACTAAAATAGAAAACAGTTATATAGGTAAACTTACCCAAATAAGTATTTAATTTTAAGTACAGATAACTAATTTGAGAAAGTATTTAAAATACCTTGTTCAAGTACATTTTAAAAAGTATTTAAAATACGTATTTGAATACTTTTACTCAAGTACTTTACAAGACTGAATATATATATTATATAATTATTAAATATAGTTCCTTATCTGTGCACCACATTCTATTTGAATACCTTCATGCCTGCTAGTAGGTAGACTTTTGTCGATTGGGGTGTTTTAAGTCATCCTGTAGTTAGCCGAAAAGTGGTATTTATTTTTTCTAAATAAAGTCGGTTCAAACATATCTAAGTATTAATAATATTACAAAAATATTATAATTTTATCAATTGATGGAAATTGAAAATATTAACGTTGAAAATTAGTTCACAGTTTACTTAGTAGACTCTTGAGCAGACTCCTATTGACTGATGATATCAGAGTCTTCAAAAAGGGTAGGTAGCACAAATATGGTAACTTTTTAATAGTAAGCCCCTACGCTTCTTCCCACTTTTTCTTCATATCCTAATTTTGTGGTACTCTAAAAATAGTTGTAGATATGTTATGAAGTTCTAGCACACAACAATAGTTTGGCATATTTATGTTTGAAAAAAAAATTTGCATAAATCTAGTTTAGCTCCCACACGAATTTTCCAATTTTTCAATATTTTTTCAAAATAGAGCGTTATGCGCATGCAAAAAACACCCATAATTGTGAACTTCGTAAGGCTATAACTTAAAAACTAATGTCTTCCGCCAATTAATTTTTACACCATCGTTCTAAACTCATTGAGATACATAGGTTTCCAAAAAAAAAAAAAATTGTAGAATTGGCATGGCTGCTAAACTAAATTTGTTACTAAGTAATGACTGATTAGTGATTGTAAATTTGTATATAGTCCATAAAATCATAAATACTCATTTCAACATCAAATTTATTTTTAAAAAGGGGGATTTGAAAAATATTATGACGACCACGAAACACCCCAAATTCCGCTTAGAGCGCTGGTTCTTATTATTCGTCTTCGTCTTCTGGTATCTTCTTTTTACCCTGCAAGGCTGCAAATTATATCCAATAAATTAATATACAATTTAGATAGGTACATTCGTTGTACTTTGTGTTTCATAGGCTTACGGCACTGGATAATCAATCAATCAAATCAATCCTCTACTAATTACTAATTGCCTACCTATTTAATTATAATTATAAATTTATATAATCTTATTATTATTATAATTATTTATAATCACATACATTTTTTCAATATTTTTGAGAAATATTTCGCAAATAATTGACCAGGAAACATTAGAAAATGATAATGACAAAAGCAATGAATTCAATTCACCTGACAATTTAACTTGTCAACCAACACAAGAAAACATCCAAATACAACGACAAACATCTCGCCGGCCAGGAAATCCTCATGAAGTTGAAGAGACTGATAGACAAATGAAGAGGGCTTTTAATACTTAGAGTTTTGTGTGTATCATGACCACCAGACCGCGGTTGTAAATAGAACAGTGAGTATGATATTCCAAATTCTTCAATATCTAAGGCTGCTACTACTTGTTTACTTATTGCCTATGGGTAATACCACTCGTCCACGGTCCACTCGGTTATATAGGTACCATAATTATTAGTTATCACTCATAAAAACATTGCTATCTATACGGTCGATCTAAATGATGGTCACTTGCTAGTTGCTACTGAATTAAGATTTTATAAGAGTTTTATATCTCTTTATTTACATAATTAATTAATACAATAAATTATTACATTGTTTCTATACATGGGTTGTGCACCTACTGTATATCTTGTTTATAATATGTGGGTAATAACGCAGTTATTACAAGGACAAACCACAAAATTATTACGACGCCTGCAGTGTCAGATTTTAAAGTCAGAATAGTTCGATGTTTGATAAAATATATACACATTACACATAGTTTAATATAAATGAAATTATACTAGAAAAATTACTATGAGACACGTCGATCTATTGTAAAATAAAAATATGGTAGGTATATCTCTATAATCTATAAAATGTTTTTATGTAAAGTCAGTACCGAACACTAATAACCATAATCCTGATGCGCAAAATATCTAAACAATATAATTTTGTTGTGGAACAGTATCAAACTGTTGAAAACATCTCTCACAAGTAGGTAAAAGCTAGCCGAATCGATATGAGATATAATTTTTAATATCTATATATTTATATTAGTTTTTTCTTAAATTACTTATGAAATTGTTCTGTATTTTAATTTTTAATTATATTCTTAGTTATTATGAGTTATCATGAGAAATGGAATGTTATTTTGTTCAGCAATAATGTAGGTACCTATAAATATATGTGACGAGGAAAATATTACAATAATAGATATAGTATAGTATTATAATTTGTTATTATATACATCTATATTTTGTATTCGAAGTCATATACCTATGATTTGAAAATTGACATGTAGTTGTTCTTATTACTCATTA